CAATGAAAACAAGGTTAAAAGGACACTCTAAGCACAAAAGCAACATTAGCTTAATAAAGCAGTTTTAGTGTATAGCTCTTGCCCTGCAGTCTCACTGTTCAATTCTCTGACATTTAGGAGTTACTGAAAAAGAGTCTAACTTTTGTAACTTCCCTTATTTCTCCGTATATGTAATTTCTAATGTCTCTGTAATGTCTTATCTCATTCTATTAATAGCATGCTAGAGTCTGCAACAGCCTCATGCATGATTAATGTTCAATTAACAGTGCCAGAGATAATAACTTTTAAAGTAAACACACTGTGCCGCATTATCTGATTAAAAATTAAACTTTTATTTTTAATTCATGGAGGCTGTGTACAGGGGCGGGCTGGGATGGGGGGAGGGAGGCAATTGCCCCCTAGGCCGCTCTAAAGCCTGTTAAAAACGGCCACTGGGGCGTCTTTAACGCAGGACAATTGGCAGCTCCCCCAGCCCTGTGTAAGACATAGGCAGTGGAGGTGTGGCTAGGGCTGCATAAACAGAAACAAAAATGATTTAACTCCTAAATGGCAGAGAATTGAGCATTGCGATTACAGGGGCATGATCTATGCACCGAAAACTGTTCATTAAAGGGACACTATAGTCACCAGAACAACTACAGCTTATTGTATTTGTTCTGCTGATTATTATTAGTCTCTTCAGGTTTTTTGCAGTAAACACTGTTTTTTTAGAGAAAAGGCAGTGTTTACATTACAGCCTATGGATACATCCACTGACCACTCCTCAGATGGCTGCTAGTGGTGCTTACTGGAGCAGTGCTGCACTGCCATTCAGTGTATCCACCCTCTGCATACAGACACTGAACTTTCTTCATAGATATGCATTACTTCAATGCATGTCTATAAGGAGATGCTGATTGGCCAGAGCTGTGTTTCACTTGTGCTGGCTCTGCCCATGATCTGCCTCTTTGACAGTCTCAGCCAATCCAATGCTTTCCCATGGCTCAGATCAATATTTCTGATTATGTCAGACAGAGGTGTAACTAGAAACCACGGGCCCTGGTGCAAAAACTGCCTTGGGGCCCCCCCATACGACAACCCCCTACAACACCCCCATACGTCTACCCTTTCCCTCCCATATGTTGCCCCCCACACATGCAGATAGATACACATACATAAACATGGACACACACATACAGCCTTTCTGTTTCTCAATCACACATAGATCATGCCTTTCCTACCCTTCAGACATTCTCCCCAGCCACTGACCAAGAGGTGGCTGCTCTTCTTTGCTCCTCTCGCCCCACCACTTGCCCGCTCGATCCTGTCCCATCTCACCTTATCAGATCTCTCTCCACTTGTCTCGTGCCTTCTCTAACACACATCTTCAACTGCTCACTCTCTTCTGGCATTGTCCCTGCTGACCTTAAACATGCCACTGTAGTACCTATACTTAAAAAACCATCCCTCGACCCGTCAACCCCCTCTAACTACCGTCCCATATCCCTGCTCCCTTTTTCCTCAAAGCTTCTGGAAAGACTTGTCTTTACCCGTGTGTCTCATTTCCTCAATTCCAACTCTCTCCTTGACCCCCTTCAATCTGGCTTCCGCCCTCTCCACTCTACAGAGACTGCCCTTATCAAAGTTACTAACGACCTAATCGCAGCTAAATCCAAAGGCCACTACTCCATACTAATTCTTCTTGACCTCTCAGCGGCCTTTGACACCGTTGATCATGCTCTCCTTCTTCAAACTCTGCAATCGCTTGGTCTCTGTGACTCTGTCCTCTCATGGTTTTCCTCTTATCTCTCCCAACGCTCATTCAGTGTCTCTTTTTCTAATGATACCTCCTCCCCTCGCCCTGTCTCGGTTGGAGTCCCCCAAGGCTCCGTCCTTGGTCCCCTTCTATTTTCTCTTTATACTGCCTCTCTTGGCAAACTTATTACCTCATTTGGATTCCACTACCACCTGTACGCTGATGACACCCAGCTATATCTCTCCTCCCCAGACCTCTCCCCTGCTGTCCTGCAACGTGTCACTGCTTGCCTTTCTTCCATCTCTGAATGGATGTCCTCCCGCTTTCTGAAACTCAATCTCTCAAAAACTGAGCTCCTTGTCTTTCCTCCTCCTAATACTGATCCTCCTCTTTCGCTCTCCCTTCAAGTTTGTGGTACCAACATCAGCCCATCCTTGCAAGCGCGCTGTCTTGGCGTCATACTTGACTCTGGTCTCACCTTTGAGCCTCACATCCAGCATGTTGCCAAATCCTGTAGATTCCATCTTAAAAACATAGCCCGCATCCGCCCCTTTCTTGCACCAGATACTACCAAGGAGCTTGTCCATGCTCTAATAATTTCACGCATGGATTATTGTAACCCTCTCCTGCTTGGTCTTCCCAAAAGCCGTACTGCACCCCTACAGTCTGTAATGAATGCTGCTGCTAGACTGATTTTCCTCTCTAGTCGGTTCTCTCACACCTCACCCCTCTGCCAGTCCTTACATTGGCTTCCTGTGTGCTATAGGAGTCAATTCAAGGCACTAACTCACACCTATAAAGCACTGAACAACTCTAGCCCCTCTTATATCTCCTCACAGATCCATAGGTATGTCCCTTCTCGGTCTCTCCGCTCTGCTGTCCGTTGTCCGCACCCGTACGGCCAACTCACGCTTGCAGGACTTCTCGCGGGCGGCTCCCTTCCTATGGTATAGCCTGCCTCCCGCCATCAGACTCTCCCCTAGTCTTGCATCTTTTAAGAAGTGCCTTAAAACCCATCTCTTTAGGAAAGCTTATGGCCTCCAAGACTAACCCCTACCTCACATACCCGTCTCTTGCCCTCTCCTAAAGGGCAGCCCACCTTATTTGATTGCAAATTCCTGTCCTACTGTGTTTTACACCCCACCTTCTATAGAATGTAAGCTCGATTGAGCAGGGTCCTCTTCAACCTATCGTTCCTGTAAGTTTATTTGTAATTGTCCTATTTATAGTTAAATCCCCTTTCATAATATTGTAAAGCGCTACGGAATCTGTTGGAGCTATATAAATGGCGCTATATAAATGGCAATAATAATAATAATAATAATAATAATAATAATAAGCTGTAGTTCTGGTGACTATAGTGTCCCTTTAACTGTGATCTAATTTTTTTTTTCACCATTAGGGGTTAATTTATTTTATGAATTTGATGTTGATTCTTTAGTTAGCTGGAGTGGGTGGACTTGAGTGGGAAATTGAGTGTTAGGCTAGTTAGGGACTAAAAGTTTGGAAAACATTTTTTAAAAAGTATTTAAAAAAAGAAAAAAGTTTTAAAAATAATTAAATGAAAAAAGTTTTTACCCCTTCAGGACCGCTGATGGTGTAAAACGTGCGTTTGGACCGCTGACGGTCCTGAACCGTCATAGCGAAAAACGGGCTGCGGGAAGCAATCAAAGATCGCTCCTGCCGGTATAACACTGTAACTATCTGCCAGACATCCTAGGCAGATAGTAACAGCCAATTTCGGCGTGTGAGCGATCTGTGATCGCTCACAATTGGCTGCTGTCAAAGTGGGTGTTACAAACACTCACTTTGACAGTGATCTCTGCCCCTTTCTCCTCTGTAGCGTTTTGTGAGGCGAGAGAGACAGATCGTGATAGTTTGTTGCAGCAGTGTTTAGTGACCATCAGAAAGTATCAGTATTTTATTTTAGAAAAAAAAAATCACCTTTTAACCTCTTTCCTGCCAGATCTGTTACAGCAGTGCGTTTGTACTGCCTGTATTTTTTTTTTTTTGCCCTTAAGGGGTTAAATTTGTTTTAAAAATCTGTGTCTTGGTCTATCTTAGTCAGTTTCCTTCCCCCAAATCTCCATTAGATTTTTGTGACAGGAGTTAGTTTAAGGATTGCTGTTTAGTCTGTTTTAGTAAAAAAAAAAAAAAAGAAAA